GTCGCGTTTAAAACCCCTCAAGTCCTCTATTTATGAAGAAAAAACTTTTTATTGCCAAAAAACCAGAAAGTCTGCAGCCGACGAGAGCATTGCGCGTAGTCCGTTCGGTCAGCCACAAAATACGGTAGCCGGCACGGAATTGGTTGAAAAGGGACGATCGAGAGAAATCGGTACCTGTGAGTGAAATACCGCCGAACGCTTTAAGACGTCAACAAGTTCGTGACCGCCTGGTTGACCGTCTGTACATAACTCAAAATTGCATAGTATGCTCGAACGGTAGAGATGGTAATTGCATGAGTTCGGGTACAGACTATCTGATCTCTTGTAAAGTGTGCGGGGACGAATACATTGGCGAAACGTGTAGACCATTCTGTGTCTGTATAAAGGAACAACCAGTGGAGAAATTTAAGGTCAAACAAAACACGGCACTAGGCACGCATACATAAGGAAGTTTTGAAGTGAAAATTACAATCCTCACATAGGAATCCAAAACATAAGCGCGTAAAACTTCTGAATAGCCTTGGATAAACTCCAAAAATCCAAAAATGAAGTCTGAGAAGCAGTTCGCTGTGATCACTCATGAGCTTGCTCCATACCTCAAACTGATTCTTTGGCGTGGCCCAGGCACACTCCCAACCAGTGTAGAACTTTATGACGCTAGCCAACAACAACATAACATAACATAACTAGAAAATGAAGCCCTGAGTACTCAAAAGTAGTTGTTAACTACACTGTTGAAATCTGGATACCGACTTTTTTTCCGAGCTTTTGAAAGTGTCTGAGTACATTGCGTGTCAATTTGAGCCATCTACGCTCTAAAGAGGGCGAAACCGTCGAAACGCCATCCACTGTTGAATAAATTTTATTACTAACCACTTCGGGCCTAAGAAAACATAGTCACAACATGATTTGCAAAATACTTTTCAACGTTGATTGAAACGTGGTTGTATGCTGGACCATAGTGACATGTAGAATATAACAGAAGACACACCACGTATATCTCCAGACCGACAGAGCAAGTCTCATCTACAATTTGTCACGTTCTCAACACTTCAAGCCTTCGGACTATCGAAAAACTATCACTTGATTAGAAGGTTCATAATGGACACGAAGTTAGGCGTCGTCTAACGTGGTGGCTGCGCAAATTTTATCTTAAGACGCTGCAACTTAAAACGTCATTCAGCAATGAAGAACAACTTTAGATTCCAATGTGCCAATCAAACGAGTACAAATGATGAGAAAACATAATCAGAAACTTTAGCAATGACAAATGGAATTCACTGACAATGTGAACCACTAACACAACACTTCAAATGAACAAAGTAATGAGCCGAGGTATAATGCAGTACAACTAATGCGATTTGAAAATGGCCACCCCCTCTAAGCCGATAGTGCTTTCCAATATTGGCCGAGCAGTTTATAGCACGACTAGCCGCTATAGTGAAAAAGAACCACTGTCTCTCGCATGTGGTTCTGGAAATATTTTCGATGTCCTAGAAATCTTAAATCACAAGCAAATGGAAGACTTTTCTGGGAAGAAATTTCCTCATTCAAAGAACGCAAAAAAATACATTAGTTAACTGTCGCCGCAACTAAGACTACGATATGATATCATCGCAAGTAGGAAGAATCTCTGGAAAATATAATATTAAACTAATAATTACAGATTCATGAAGTCTATAAGAAGTTTACGCGCAAATCGTCTGAAGTGCACCTAAGTTGCATATTTGTAATGGGAAAATAGGATAAAGAAGGAATTCTCACTAAGTGCGCTTATTGACCTGACTCGAGGTTGGTATCATTCCTTGTCGTCACCTAAGAAAACGGCTCTGAAGAAGGCGAAGTCGCCGAAACGTCTGCCACGGAATCAGGACAACAATAACAACTGATACCAACCTTGCATCAGCTCAAAAAGGGTAGTAAAAAAGGTAAAAAAGGGTTCGCAATTAATTCCATATCTAAATTATTAAACTTGAGGTTTGTAGAAAGTCGGTCATTTTGGAAAGGAAATGTTAAGTAGAATGATTGCAGATTCGGTTTCTTTGACACCCATCAAAGAAACCACTAACCGACTTAGCGACTCAGAAATCACTACTGAAAAAAACGTTTTATAAAGTATAAACGAAATAGACATCCAGTTGGAACAAGCGTTCTACATCTTCGACAAATATTCCATCGTGTTAATAGGTAGAGTATATATTCAATGCGAAAGAATGATTAACATAAACATAGATCGATCTTTTAAGAGAAAAGCCAAGACAATTGAGGCGGTTCCGACGAAATCCAAGGAAATCCACAAGATTGTTAGACATGCCCGTTGGTTTCTCACATTAACAGTTGTATTAGCAAGGGTAGGGCTAGGAGCAGATAGCACAGTGATAGTGATGTCCGTCATCACGAGCATGATTTTAGTTCGATTCCACCCTGGGCCAAGTAATCCTCTCATTCCTCCAGGGTCAAGAAATTGGTAGTGGACTTTTATGGGAAAAAACCACTCTCCACAATCCAATTCGAAACGCTTAAGCTCGGCTATCTCAGGACTCCAGGGAGAATTGCTTGACCGGCATTCTATGCGAAGCAAATCGAATGTCCGAAGTGCTGGCATCCGCAAGGTAGACGTGGAGACGGGTCATATAAAATAAAAAAAATCAGTTAGCAACTATATAACATTTGTGGGTCAAGAAATGATACTGATAAGTGTCACTATGAATGAAATGGACTACAGTCGTCGATTTTAACTTATCATTTACTGCTTACTCTTTTTAACGGCATGGTATACATTGTGGAATACAACTTCAATGATGCTGAGATATTTGCAAAACTCCGGACCGCAGGTGTATGCGGTGGGGAACGAACGCGCTATTGTCCTTTCCGGTGAGTAGCGCGTTCACCACCACACCACACGGGTCCTACGTCTCACCTGTCTCTCAGCTAGTTCTATCAGGAAAAGTTTTTAGCGAAATTTTGTCCTGTCAAGGGCACTATTGTTGTTGAAGAAAGATGCTCAGATATCCCCGATAATGGAGTGTCTCTTCTACACTGCACAAATACAAATGTATGAGCCCTGAAGCGCTTTCTTCCTCTTGTTTTCGTGGACTAGAACGAGGCAGAACATATTCTCTACAGCTCGGTGTGAATACCGTTCGCATCACTCTAATATATCTAAGTGATAACTGCAGCCTCAGCTTAACTGGGTTCGTTGCCGATTTGGGCTCCCCAGATCAATCCCGTTAACGGGTGGTTGCTGATAGCAAGTGATCGATAGAACTAGCTGAGAGACAGGCGAAACGAATGACCCGCATGGTGTGGTGGTGAACGCGTTACTCACCGGAAAGGACAATAGCGCGTTCGCTCCCCACCGCATACACCTGCGGTCCGGAGTTTTGCAAATATCTCAGCATCATTGAAGTTATAGTCGTCGATGTCAAATAACACCCTGAAATAAGACCTAGAAAAGAAAAAAGCTTAAAAAGTGATCGTTTCAACACCTATAGCAACTACACAACTACCGCAGTCTTTCTCGGAATTCTATATTCTTTGCTAGTGACATTCTATACACAAAAGTTTATGAAGGAGAAGCACAATGGAAAACAAAATAGAAAAAGAAAATGAGGAGTACTAAAAGAAAAATTCGAGCTACGTCCACATATCTCATGTAGCACTGTCAAAAGCTGCCATCAGAATCCAGTAAGAGATTCTATGAGTAAAACATTAGTCAGTTAGAGACGCTCGATCAAATATTCCTCTTGAACGAGTTCTCCTACATATATTAAGTTGTGCTACAGCCCTTCTTGATTGGAAACATAGCTTCTCGACGGAATGCCAATTTATGAAATATTTCAGTACTGCATCAAAACTTAAAAACCAACGTCGTCATAGGTGATGCACTCCTTAGTATTCCCTCCAAGTGTTCCGTTTTCTTTCTGTAACCATCACTTGAGGAGAGGAAAAATTCGTCTGTAGATTCAGCTCTACGGAAAATGCAATCGAACACCTTTGTGGATCAGAGATATGCTATCTTCTGACTAAGATTCATTCAACCGTTCTAGCGATTAGCCGACAAAACGACCTAGTGTGATCTGGTGAGTCATTTCACACGTAAGGAAAATCCAAATACTCACAAAGCTCTCTGGCATGAAACGAGTTGAAAACAAACCGCATTTGAACAAATTGAAGCTACAGTGCTTAGTCAAATTGGAAGCAATACGAATGAATAAATCGACGCCATGATATTGATCTCATCGGATACGTGTATCACTGTGCTGTAGTATTAGCATGCACACTTTCCATGGTATAAACCCCGCCCATAGATAGACAACCTCTCCCTTCCCTAAACAGTGGTAGTGGTTGGATAAATCTCTCGGCGTTGATCAAAGTTAGTGCTGCTGTGCTCCAGACAAGTGTGATGCCAATTTGCCGAACCCGAAGGGATGGAGAGCTCGGTGAACCCGTGGCGCGGAGATCGATCCTATGTGCATTGCAGGGCGTCGCTGCTCACTACGTTATACGCGTCGTCATAGGTGGTGGAACTGATAAAAATCCTGCCTTTATCATCTTGCTCGTGTAAGACAATACTTGAGTCAAATCCAAGTTGAGCAGTACAATTAAAAATTGTAAATCAGAAACAGATTCTATGACAAATCTCACAGAAACTAATTAACACCATAAATTTTGCTTCGATATTTTATTTCCAGTTTTTTAAAACAAACCTGGCACTTTGCCTTTGTTTTCCAACCAACGTGCAATTGATAAAAGAGAGACACGCTCTCGGAGAACATACACATGCTTGATTGCGTCCCTTCGCTAAATATAAACAAGATTTAATAGTTCAAGTTCGTAAATGAACATAAGAAAACCCGAAAAAACGACTGAAATATCAAAAAAGCAGTGATTTCCGACTTCCTGACAGAACAAATACGATACTATCAAGTATGAAATGTGGGTTCCTTTTATTTAGGAAGAAAAAACTATGAGATTACACAGACTTCAAAAAAATTCACTCATACCTTTGCCGCTAGCCAGTCATTGACGAGTTCTTCATATTCAAATGTAAATGGATACTTTATTGACAATTTATCCCAATACAAGACACGTCGATTGTGTGGTCGCCTCTCGTATTTAGCCTAAATATTATTGTATCCTTGGAAATCGACTAACCAACGACTAACCTTGTTTACAAAAAAAAAGTGGTCATAGGGCTTCATTACTTCGTGTTCCGATTGCATTCGCTTAATATCTTCGAGACCAGATCGAGAATCTACGACATCAGTTGGGAAGTGGAATCGAGATGCTTCTAGATGTGCGGTGAGATCATCGCGCAAACCAGATGCACGGGCAGTCCGTAACTGCAACGCAACCCAGAAGTCCATTCCTGCAAGCCGAGAAATTACGTTGGCAGTGAAATAGAAGAAATGTTGGAAGTCCACATGCCAAATCCACATGGAACGATTAGCTCACAACCCGACAGTGTATCAGAACGACCAGATCCTCCATTACGCATCACAACAAGCAAGGGAATCTGTGAATGATGATCTAAGAAAAAAGCTCTACTTAAGACGGTACGGATAAAACGGCACCTTTGCTGGCGTAGTACTAATTGGCCCAAGGGATTGCCCTTTCAGTTTATTTAGTTCCGAATCTGTCATCCTAAATATTCTTCTTGAAAAACCATAATCGTTTCAAGAAATTTAAGACAAGACAAAAATATGATTACCATTCACCTATCTGAAAGAGCTTTCATTCGAACATCATTGTTCCAAAAGGCTACTTGTGGAATACAGTAACATATTAGTGGCAATCCGATGCATTCAGAACAAGGTATCTTGAAAACCAATTGACAAACCCATCATATCTCTATATCTATAGTATGCATGCATGAATGTGTGCGAGTGCAATCACATAAATGTGCATCGAAAAATACCTTTTTGCGAGTAGGTCGAGAAATTCTAGGATCTTCAACCAGTAGTGAAAAAACGGAACCGTCGACAAAACTTCCGGTCGCAAGTTTAGAAACAGAATCTTGCCATTCCGAATGACTTGTTCTAAAATAACAACCTGCCGTAAGTTAGTTTGATTATAGAACCAAAATGAAAGTGAGCTTAGAAACCAAGGGATAGAATTACTTTGTTATCATTAAATGGTCGATAAAATTCTCATAGAAAATGGGCTAGCATCACGTATATGAGCGAGTTTATAGACTCTCTCGCTCCAAGGTTTCGATGGCTTCATATAAAACGGACGCAAAAGGGGTAACAGCACTAAGAAGACAACCTGAATTGAGATGCGTTCTCATCGTTGACTAACTTTAAGGCGTCGCCTACAATCGAAACAGCGAGTGGACCATATAAACGAATCCGCACCAGTTGATCTCGTAAGTCTTGGACCTAAAAACTGCATTCATATTTTTTTTCTTACTATGACTAGTACAGAAAACGAACAGAGCACCCGTATTGCATTTTTTCCAGTCCAAATGTACGTGCGCACTCTCATTCTACTTAGGCGCCATTCCTCCAGAGTATGAGGGAAAGTGTCAGTCTGAAATCATTAGCAAACAGTAATCAAACAAAACAATAAAGAAATGGACATTTACTTCATCGCTATTCTCCACATGTTCCTCTTCAACAAGCTCCAGTAATTCTTTCAGCACTGATAGAGCTTCTTCTCGACAAGACGGATGCATCCATAGCGCTAATTTACAGAGATCGCTAGAAAATTGAAACCTATGGTGAAATACATTTAAGCAAACTTGGTAAAACAGGGTCCAACTTATTTTTAATCCATTGGAATCGTACAGGTCCAATGAGGCCACACGGATACCGTCCAGGATGATAAATAAGCGTGGTTATCTAAATCATCACTTGTCTGATGTACGAGCCCCGTGATAGTCATTATCAATAGTATCACACAGATGTCCCGATATCCACTAATACACATCTACAGGACTGTTCAGTGAGAGTGGGCACTGTTGCTGCATTTTCCTAGCGTTGCAATATATAAGCCAATTCAGTTAATTTAGCTGCCTTCTTTTGGTCATCGTATATTCTTCATGTTCACGTTATAAAAAGCACTACAACCTATAATTCTCTTTCCGATAGAAGTAGAAGTTCTATCACTCCATCAACATAAGATCACGATTTCTTTTACTTACTTGGATACTTGTACGGCCTGTCGTCACTAGTTGTGTGGGTCCCAGCACAATCTCCATTTTTCAGAGTTTCGGTGGTTTAGTTATTGTTTCTCTGAAGTCCCGCGGTCAGTCTGGCCACAGTCTGTCCCAGGTCGTCACTACCACAGGCAGTCGCCGCCCTAGTGGATCAGAGGAAGATTTGCCACCATGCGACAAGTTCGATACCAGGACGGTATTCGATCCTGGTATTGCTTTACTCTTAGCTGCACTTCCTAGTGGAAACGCTGGATTCCTTATTAGGTTGGGAGACCCTGCCGGGGATGGACCCCGCTCTACATCGCAGCCCGATACCAAGGAACACCTCCCAGCCGCGATAAGGCGGTAAAGCGTTGGGGGCATGATTTCTTTTACCGTAAGAAACCTCTCCCTCATTTGTTTATCTTTCTCGTCGAGCTTTCCTTCTCGAGAACCTAAAGGATTAATGGAATAGCTCGAATCTGCCGTTGAAGCTCACAGTTTTCCCCAATTGCGTCAAAAATTTGAAAACTCAAAACTAAAATCCTGGTGCACGATTCTGTAAGGTTGCCGCATTTAAGTGATGCATAACTTTCTATCGTAAAAGCTTGTTATTTGATATTAATTCATACACAACAATCTATCGCCCCTTCTCACGCATGTGCGGAAATACACTCGAACTGTAAGAGCTGAACTTCGTTTCCATTTTTTGGTGGTTTAGAATTTAACACATTCGTGACGAAATGTATCGGACTCTATGCGCAGTGCGCCTCCTAGCTTCTAGCTTTCAGCTAACATACCTCAACCTATGATAAAATTGGCAAATTGATATAACAGACAAGGGTAAGGCTTCGGCGTTTACCAGTAACTCTAGGATGTGCCATGCATACAACTTCACTGAGCATCACTAGGGCTGATTTAGTGCATATCTGTCCTATATAATGACTTCAGCTGTTCAGTGACCCCAGGGCACGGGATCGAATTGAAGACTATGTGTGCTGCAGAGTGCTTCTGACCACTGCGCTATACGCGTCTTCTTGAAATAATATCCATTGGAATTTGAAGATATTTGCCAATAAGTAGCAACTTTTTCTATTCGACACTGACAAAATTCCGGCATTTTAGAGCTCAAAGAACTTTTTCGTCCACTTTTTTTGGGTCTACGTATGTATTTCGAACACCGTAGCAACTTCTTAGCAGATGGAATGTCGTACGGCCGAACCTTGATGCACTGATGAGTTTTGCGGCTGCTTTGCTCGCATTTAAAATTGCAGAAATTTAGATTAAGTCTTATACTTACTGTACACCTGAATCCTAAACAAAGTTAAAACTGAAGCAGCTCTTTACAAAAGTATTTATGCAGTTGAACAAGCAGTTTAAACCCTCATTTAAGTGCCTGTGAAATTCGCAGCTTTTTAAGTACTCTAGTTATTGCAAAATTACTCAATGTAAAAAAATTGACGAATCCGCAAATGTACTAAGTTTTAATATGCGATGGACGGAGTGGAAAATTCAATAAAAATGCAACATCGCTAAACCTTTAATGGAATCGCGTCGTTAGGCGCAGCTCTCCGAATGTACTTTCCGGGTTTTCAAAAATAAAAAAGAATTTGTCAATAAGCAGAGGTCTTCAGGAGTTGTAAAGATAGCAGAATTGTAGAAGAGAGTGTGCTCTATCGTCCACAGGATATAGCTTAGTATGCTACTATTTATTGTATTACTATGGCCTATTAAGTAAATATACTGCAGCCAGCTCTTAGAAGTATTTTGCACCCTAGGATGAGTTTATTTCGGGGTTTTTTGTACTCGCGCATTCCATACGATGACGAAGTCAATTAAAATGAAACAGCAGTCAGTTGTTAGTCAAATTAAAGGGATCAACAAACTTTTTCGAAAAAACGTTTCTCTGTAAATCATTAGGTGTCTGAGGATGGTTTTTTTAGTCTCACTCCTATTATTTTGACCTGGCTTCGATGAACTATCCAATGAATATACATTGTGAGATAAAAACGTTCTGGAACGTACTAAACTAAAAATAGAATGACTTTAATATAATTATGTGTCCACACCGGTCGTTACTGGTTAACATTTACCGCCCGTCCCCTCATACCGCCTGAATACTGTATGCGGTATGAATTGAGCATAACCACTTCGGTTACTGCATTACCTCCTCCTCAACCAAAAAGTAACACTCCACCCTTTTCCTACTACTTCCTGTTTAACAATTTGCACTGTAGTTCTTTTACATAGCCTTCCAAAGCTTCACCCCTCATTGTAACTGGGGAGTGTTCCTGGATGTCGTGCTGGTAAGTACAGCGTGGAGTTGCATCCCCTAGCAGGGCCTCCGAAGCTGAGGAGTCTGACGTTTCCTGAAGGCCACCTAAGAGTAAATCAATACGAGGAATCACCACCGCCCTGGAATCAAACTAGCTGCGTGGTAGCAAACCTCGCTGAGATCCATAAAGGTTGCGACTGCCTGGTATGGGGACGACCTGAGGCTTCGGCTAAACTGACCTAAAGACTCTAGGAAATCGCAATGACTAAAGCAGCAAAATTCCCGCCTCAGTACCCTGCACACTTGGCGCTCCTGTAGACTATGTCAGGTGGTGGGACAACCGGTGAAAGGCGATAAAATCTCGGGTTGCAAGGACGTCACTAGAAACGGACAAAACGAGCACGTCCATGAATGACGCGCCATGGAAACTGCTTTCTGCTGTGCACCTACGGGCCTAGAGCAGTTTCTTCAGACGTAGACCTTTACCCCTTTCTTGAGGCTGCTGTTCGCCTACAAGAGACCAAAAGCAGAAAGACAAACATACGCCAATTAAATGATGGAACCCTTGACATTACTGCAGAAAAATTTCCGTTACGAAATGTCGGAGACATTGGCTTTGTCGTACATCCATTTATTTCCCATATAGTCAATTCATACGAAATCCTATCACCACGTTTACCCATTCTTCTTCTCCAACTGGCGCGTCAGAAGAAAATCAGTACCATTAACTTTCAATCACCTACTTGCACAGCTGATGAGAGCGAATTGGATGCGTTTAGTAACTTGTTATCTGAAGTGATCCTCAATGAAAACACCCTCTACAAATTCGTTGTTGGAGACTTTAACTCTTGATTAGCAAAGGCCAACGAAAAATAATACAACACAGAAATTCGGAATAAGAGAACATGTTTCTTCCATGGGAACTCATTTTTCGAGAAGAGAGAAAATCGCCAGTGGATATGAGAATCTCCTAACTGCATGACCGATACAAAGATCGATCACATTCCCACGAGTTGAAAATGGTGCCTCTTTGACACGTCAGGGCTACCTCGATTCTGTACTGGATCTGATCACCGTCTTCCCCATGCGAAGATTCGCTTCACCCATAAGCTGGAAAAGAACTCTTATCGTCATCCGAAAAAAAATATGAAACAAGTCTTCTACAAGGATATTCTCAATAAAATCCTCCCCTAGTATGACAGATTAACTGACGACCGAGACAGCGCTAAACGCTGCTTGCCGAAAATATTCTAAAATTTGTGCCGAAATCGCCTCTTTTTTTTCCTGAAGTTCCTCGAACAAGAACTTGGGACCGCATCTCCATTACCACTAAGGAGTTGCTCGAAAAGAGAAAGACACTGAAACTTGATCCTACCGCAACACATCTAACACAGCCGGTGATAAATTCCTGCCGTCTAAGATCTCCGAAGGAGGATTTATATCGGTATAGGCACAACAATTTATTGGAAACAGCTTAAACTCGGTACAGTCTGAAGTATGGCCGAAGAGATCTTTACGACTACAACGTTTCGGTCCCCGCCTTGATGAATGAAGATGGGACTATCAGTATATCTCTCCATGATATGAAAGTGATGATTAAAAAGTTCTAAGCAAGTATTTTTCCCTTCATAAAAACCATCTCGGACTCCGAAATCTCCGCCGTTGAAAGATCATACGGGATTCTACTCTTTGAAGTTCGAGTTGCTATAGAAAGTACGACGGGCAACGTCCCACTGCCCGATAATACCACCGCCGTCTTCCTTCGAACTTGGGGCCAAAAGTTATATGTACTTCTCGCCACTACATGACACCTTACATTCAGAAAGTAAAAATCCAGTGAATCTCGTACATGGTCACCCTACTCAAGAACGGTGACCGAAGGGATCTTCGTAACAATCGACCGATATGCTTGTTGAGCGTACTTAACAAGCTCTTCAAGAAGATTATCCCTTGCCCATATCGAAGACCCTGAATGAGGCGCAATCATTTGAGCAAACAGAATTCCAATATGGATTCTCTTGCATGCACCACATTAAACCGCGCCTAGTGTCACAGAAGTCTGTCAGGAGTACCACCAACCCCATGTCCTATTACCAACTATAAGAAAGCGTTTGACAACGTCGAAACAAATTCAATCCCATCAGTGCTCGTCGACCAAAGAGCGAACCCATCCCATACACGAGCATTAACGAACTATAATCGGAACTGCAGCACAAATATACAGCTTTTCATGGACTCTTTAGCATATCTATGGAATAAGGGGTTCGACAAGGTGGCATCACGTCGCCAAAGCTGTTTACTGGTACATTGCAGTGGATAATGAATTCATTCGACTAGGACAAGAACGACGCACATATTGGTGGAGAATCCCCGTCAAATCTTCGTTTCACGCATGATTTCCTCATTTTTCAAAGAGTATCAGTGAAACACAGACGATTACAAGCGAACTCAAAGAAACCAGAAAAACGAATGGACTGCTCATGAATAGGACAAAGACTCAGTTCATGAAGAAACCATGATGCGAACATGAAGAAATCAAACTGGATGGTTCTATGATTATAGAAATCACCCCATAATTGTACCATGAACGTTCAATGAACATTGAAAACAACACTAAGGAGCAATCAGACAGAAGAAAACGAGCAAAATTAGCCAGCACTCAAAACGCCTAGTCGGAGTGCTCCGATGTTCGAAATCTATCCTATGTTCGGGATCCAGGGGAATATACATGAATAGCGAAACACAGATAGGCCGGTCACATAGAAAGAAGAGCAACGGATGGACGAAAAGAACAGTGGAGTGGAGTCCAAGAGAATGCAAGCGTCCTCTTAGAAGACCACCCAAATAATGGGCGGAGAGTTTGTGGCTACCTTCAACCAACTGCACTCGCAGAAAGATGGTAACGATTTCGGGATTAAGGAATGGACCTTGCGGGTGACACCATGTTCGAAGCAGACCACCGATATGGATGACGAATGCGCGAGGGCGAATAAAAGGATAAAGGATAAAGGTGAGAGCGAAGCGAGTGTAGATTATGCAAGCGCAAGCTCAACCGAAACGACGTGCCTTCCAAGTATTCAAATTTTTTTAAGTTCTGTGTACGGTTCTATGATTTAAAACAGCCGAACTATTGTGTTTGATGAAAAAGAACTATGTACTATCCAAGCACGATGCTGTCATCGTTCGCTAGTCGGCTTCACAACACAGGTTGGGTATAGTTCGGCACTTTAATACAATTACTACAACCCGTACCTCAGTAGTATGGAGGTGAGAACCTGCAGTAGTGTTGCTAAGCATGCATAATGAAAAACAATGAACGTGAATTAGATTTACTTGCGTCTGGATATTTTTGTACCATCTCCACCAGCAATACTCTGGGGTAAAAGATACCTTAGTACCTATGAATCTGGGTTAACAAACTTGTACGAAAGATGGTTTTTTCTTGCAAATTTCTATGTGTAGGGAATAGTCTCGTTGTGCCAACGACAGGTAGAACAAATGTGCTAGTGAAACTAAGTAATGGATCCAAACAATGTGGAGAAAGCTCTGTGTAGCAAAACACAAAGTACGGGTAGAAAGCAGCTCATGTCAGAATGTAAACGTTAGGTATGAATCATAAAATTTCTGCGAACTAAACTGAAAATGAAAAGTGAATTTCCAAAGCCATTAGAAGGGCGGCAACTGCAAATATCAGCGATACATATGGACATTATGGCGTCCCGTTCAACAAAATCTTATTTGTTTAACGGCTTCCTTGTTTGAGATGCAAACTTTGACAAAAAAGGTGAGAAAATGCGGTGTTGGGTGCGGAAACCCAACACTTGGCTATGTTAAAATATGAAAGCCTATAAGCACTAGGATATGGATGACAATGGATGTTAAAGCAATTCGTCTTATGAAAAACTTAGAAACAATACTTTAGCCGAAAAAGTGCTTACTAACGATATATTATTTGTCAAAAAAAAAGTAAATAAGAAGAAACCCAATGCCAGCCATCAACTGATAAACGGAAGAGGATTCTATACGTTCTTGCCTAGTTCATGAAACGACCTTTGCAGTGAGTCAGATGTGGGAAGGATGATTCATAGCGCGACGTAAACAAGTTCATTATTTCACCAAACAGTTTGTTATCAATTGGATCACGGTGGTGAGTTGAGTGTTTGCTAAGGATTTAGATATTACCACTGAACTCAGCAAGAATGTGGGACGTATTCCCACTTATATAAGAAGTAATGTAGATTTGCAGCCCACCTCGTACCTGCCATCTAGGGAGCTTTTAAACGCAAATGTTGGAGAGGTGGCATTCATACACAATGGACTCAACATGGAAATAATCGTTGCTTGATCTTCATGAGATATCTGAAATGGAGTCAAAGCAGAGAAAAGTTGCTTCATTTCGAAAACGGAACTGACCAACAAACATGACAAATAACTTTTGTCGCGTACGGTGCAGTGCCTTGTAGAATCCCGATAACAAGGGCGAAAGTTACGGTGGAAACTCCGGTCAGGTACCCGATAACCCCATCTAAATCAACCATTAGTACTAAAAGTAATGCCATATAGATGGTTTTCGTATTAAGGAGCTACAACCTGTCGACTACATGGAATCGCTTCGCATGCCAAATATGGGTCTCAAGCCAAACACTTTTCTTCTGTCGTCTAATGTAATTCTGAAGACCAAACGATTGACACATTGCAACAAAAAGTCTGCATACAAAATAAGAAGACATTTCCACTCACAAGTAAGAGATTCCTTGGCCTTCGACGGGAAAATCGACTCGGTGGCTTTTTCCTGTGCTTCGCTAGAGCTAAAAACGGAGCTGCGAAATTTCGAATTCCTTTAGGAAACCGACGAACGTTGTACGCCATCGCGCGACTGAAAACCAATTCTGACCAGTCAAAATTTTTCTTAAAAAAAAGCTGCAATTAAAATCACGTCTTGCTGCTGAGTTAATCGACACTCTTGACCGACACATGGAATTTCAAACAACGAAATCAGAGGTCAACACCCGAACGAAAACCGTTTTCTAGAGTCTTGTTCATATAACGCCTCTCCCAAAGAAGAAAATGGTCGCTCGACACAGGCAGACATCACGAACTATCGTGACACATATGTCAATCACAGTTCCCAAACAGAAGATTGCGCACTCTTATTAGACCACCGTAATAGCATCTTTCTCTATTGGTCATGTTTGAGAAGAAAACCGAACTATGATGGGACCGCAAAACACCTGATGCATTCTAAAGCAACTTAAGCAATTAAAGAAAGAAAACTATCTTCAGGATTAAACAGATTCCTGAATTCAGGAGAATACACATAACCCCTAAATACTAAGAGGAAGTACCGTCTCATATGTCTTGGGAGCCGTTGAGCTGCCGTCCGTGGCCCTTTCGTAACCTCACCAGAAACAAGATTCGCATTGTCGACTACCTGAACTAACACATTTCAAAACTTGACATTGGTAAGCGAACAGAAAATAAAGAGTACCTGAAGGAGATTAGCTACTTGTGCTGCTCGCTCTTCCACGTATCTATGCACTTTCACGAAACGAGCGTTTGACAGATTCTCTGCTTCCATTTCTATAGACCAACTATTAAGAAAGAACGAATGAAGTGTCTTAATGGACAAAAGAAGGAATATAAGTGGCTGTCAAAACTTAGACACCAAATAGGTTTCTTCACACAAATATACATAGTTTATTAGTGACAAAATTCATTCAAATATGGATTTGATAATGAGAAGAAGAGGTTAACAAATTTCAATGCGACTATCGGACTCAGAGCGATCACTCAGATTTTTGCTCTGATAGATCTGTCTGCTTCTTCTCCAATAAAAGACGTTGAATAGCTCGTCGCTCATCAAATAGTAAGGCATCCTATAATACTTTTAGGTACTTTCTGAAGCTATATATTTTAGAAATGATTCGCGTGTAACCCGACAAAACTCCCAGAAATCACTATGTTTCGATGTCATTTCACAACCCTCACTTGCTGCAAAGGAGCATCCATTATTTCTCCCACAAGGTGCTTCCGTAGTTCAATATCGTCAGCAAATTCATCCTTAATAACACGCTTACCGGTAACAGGATCTACAATATTACCTAAAAAAAACTTCAGTAAGTCAGAAAATAAAATTTACAAACAATCTTATATGTTGAGGAAACAATAAAAAACCACGAACAAATAATACCGTATTTAAAAACAATGCGATCAACGGCATGAGCTACACTTGTGGTGGGCCTTTCATCAATCCCAATTCGTCGAATCAGTACAGTATCTCCCAAATTCGCTTTTGATTCCCTAAAGCTTAGAGTGGTAAACCGATGAAACTGTCTCAAAAGGAAGAGAACGGGTACAAAATGAAATAATGAGAAGAGTAAGTACAGAAACGATTAAAGCAATGCAGTCCAAGACACAAGCCAAAGAACTTACATGACTACGCTGAAGAAAGAGCTCTCGACTGCATGTATACAACAATGTAGCAACGAATAGCTTACTGAGCGCATTATTAAAGTCACATCATCATAGTGTATAATGAATGAAAGATAGAAGTTTCTCACAAGTTCTCCGAAAAGAGAACACTTTTACAATTGCAATGGTTAGAGCGCGCTTGCACGATGCCTTCTGAAATATATCCGGAATACACAATATCCAGCAAGAATGAGAAGCTCCGCTCTTCGAAATCTATCTCATCGTCGAAGCGCAAGGGAAAAAACATCGATAGCAAAACACAGATGGGCCGGTCACATACTAAGAAGAACAGACGAAAGATGGACTAAAAGAACTGTAGTGTGCACTCCACGGTGATTCAAGCGTACCCTATGAAATCCACTCACAAGTTGACAACATGTGTTCGTAACCAAAGTCAATCGGCTGTACTTGCACCTGCATGTTTTACAGATCGCGGTTTGAGACTTGCACCCGCCACCATGATCGAATCAAACCATCACCATGGACGAGTGGAAAGCAAAGAAATGAATACAAAATGTGCTAGTTTCACACAACTCGCGAAGACGGGACGACGAAGCATCCAAGAAATTAATGGTTAGAGTAGGCCTAGAAAACCCTGTACTTCTCCAGGGCCGACAAGTTGGTACCACATTTGTTTCGGAGGATAGCAACAGCGAACTAACACATTGGTGCCCCACTGCAAGTCATTGTATAAGCCTGATATACTCCTACTATGTTTGATACTTTTGAATACATAGCACACCCCTCAGAGACTGATCAACGCCGAACGCTTTATCTTTTTTACCGTCTAATAGTTTGAACCTCGGTAAAAGCTCTACCACCCTTTCTCTCTCTCGGCACATGTAGCCCAGTGGTCAGAGGCGCCCTACCTTGCAAATCGCAGATTCCGGCTCCACAGGCTCATCAAGCCTTCCATCCCTCGAGTGCCGACATATTGGTACAAAACCTGTCTGCAAGGATAGCAGCACTGACTCGATACATCAGAAGGCTACCGCGATTCATTGTAAGTCGAAACACGCTAACTCCATTATATTCCTGCCAAAATACTTGCTCTAAGTCTTCTATTTCGTTTTATTCGTTACAGAAAACTGAACTAATAGCAAAAGAGCACTCATTTCGATTTCAATACGCCATAGCTTAACAATGGAATGAGTTACAGGAGAGGAATCAAGCGAATACGAGGATGGTTCAATAGGTAGTTCAATTAAAGGTAGAACAACTAAGGTCAAGATTGAATACTATCTCATATAAATGATAGTAAAACTTAGAACAAGGTCAATGTGCAGCAACAATGACCTGAAGGATATATATGCCAAGTCTGACAGCATATTTACAACCAAGGTGAGGAAGAACAAGATTATGAACAGAGATTTCGATGCTTACCTATCTAACGCCCAAAATTCAAAGGATCGAGCAAAGTACTTCTTCAGGTATATATTGAACTCATTCATTCGGCATCTAACCTGGATATAAGACCACCACATTACAAAACTGTGACTATATCGATTTTTTTACCTGCGCACATGGGACATGGTCGACACCAATATTGCTTAGCTTGATTATCCTACCCATCAGCAGTTCTGTGCCCACACGAGTTTTAAAAATAGATGTCTTTGGCATTTTCTGAAAATCCATAAGAGACCATAACGACTTCTCTATAACAACAGAAGTATTTAACGAGCTCCGTTGTAGCCATCGTAAACAGGTACATACGCAGTTCAGAATGTTTTATTTTAGCCGTTTAAGTATAATAAAAACAGAGATCACTTATGAAAACAAAACAGAGAAGCAAACAAAAGGCAACATTTGAGTTACAGCGAAACCATGAAAGGCAACACCGGATCTATCTCGAAATTATTCCCGTTCTCGAACAGTTGAAGCCATTTTATCCACCTTTTTCAGTAAACTTGGATCTGTGACGCTTGCCATCCAATCCAGCATTTTCAGATCATTGTTAAGCGTGCAAAGTTTCGTCCTTTATAGAAAAAAAAGCTAGAAAATTAAAGTTGAATAATGGATGAAACCATTACCGATTCTCTTCAAACTGCTGACGTTTCTCGAGTAAATCCACGGGGATATCTTCTACAAGAGGACTCATATCACTCATCATTTTGATATATTCAGCAGTATTGAGCCGTTTTTTCCCAACCTTTTTCTCTATCCGTAATCTAAAAGTGTAGTGAAATCTTATATTACGATTAGCACATACAGTATTAATCCTGATCTTTTATTTCCCGTTTTTAATAATCAAAAAAATCGTGAAACCAATAAAGGATAAAGGATAAAGCTCTCGGCGTTGATCAATCTTTGAAAGATGCGTTATTCATTCGATTTCACTAAGCACCGTCTGGAGGGGATTGAATGCATATCTGGCTTTTATAACTACACGCGTCGCCTAGCGATGTATCCAGGCAGTGCTACTACCCTTTTGGGCAGGTCTCGTAGCAATTTGCCGACCCAGGAGGGGCAAAGAGCTTGGTAATCTTGGGGCGCGAAGATCGATTCCATGTGTATTGCAGGGCGCCTCTGACCACTGCGCTACACGCATCATTATCATAATAGGGACAAACTAACCTTATTTCAACCAGCTTATCCATAAGCATCTGGCAATATTCCAACAGCTGCTCAGGATCACCCGCAACAGGTGGTTTTCGTTCCGAAACGGCCTTGAGAGACATGCACAAGCTATGCGTCCTTAATGGTTAATGTTATTATTGTCCAGTACTTTGTAAGCAAAACAACGAATTAACCTCGACGTAAGTTCGCTAACAAGTTCACGCCCGATTACTGTAAGAGTTCCAACAGAGAATTTGTCCAGGTTATCCAGTATTTGGGGAGAATAAGGCGGTGGATTCAATGGTCTCTTCGATTCCTATAGTATAAAGGTCTTCAACTAACAAACGTGATGATTGGCACCAGGGTTTCAAATTTGTTATAGAAAGTGATAAAACGTGCATAAGGATGCGAAGAATACGAAGAAATTCTTTACAAAAAACACTTTGTGCGTGTCGAACTGAATAAAATCAAGATAGCTATTTCAGCCAGATACATACACTTTACTGAGACCTTAAAATACCACCAGCATTGTTTCTTTCAAAAAAATTTACTTACCGATTTAACCACGGATCCTTGACTTCCTGCCTGGGTTGAAGTAGCACCGGTAGAATGAGTAGGTGTAACACCGGCAGAACTAACAGAAAACGCTGATGACGTAGTAGCCCTGAAATACGAACATCACTACCAACGCTTTTTGAACGCAAACCTTGAAACCGAAGAAAAGAAATACTGTTTGGAAGAAAGTGTTTTAGGCAGAACATACCCATGCGAACAAACATAGTTTTGCTGAGATGGACCGGAAGTGGACTGCGTCCATTGCTGACTTGCGAATCCTGGTCCTGATTGCCGTGGTTGCTGCTGAGCCTGTTGCTGTTGCTGTGACTGTCCGGAATACGACTGCTGCCCTTGAGTTTGAACTCCCCCCATGCCCATCGGTACTGAAGATGACCCAGAGAACCCCGATGTTACGTTAGTGCTGGATCCCGGATATGGTCGCGAAGCTGCAATTCGGCAAAACTTCCGCGTTTGTAATAGGAAAACAAAATGTTCTGTTGTATACAATTTATACGAAGCTAACCAAGTGAACCCTGAGGTCCAAACATTGCTTGCTGCATCATGGAAGATTGCTGAGTTGGTTGGACGGACGGTTGCTGTATCATCTGAGGTACACCTTGATAATTCATTGGCATTCCTGACGAACCACTTCCCACTAAAGTAAGCAACTGATCAACACAAAATAAAGAATTCTAACTAAACATTGTAAATGGTCCTGGTGAGCTATAAATGACAACCGTGAAGTCTCACTCATCACTTGCTGGTTAGGCACGGTCATTGGAGGTTGCTGTGGCTGCCCCTGTCCAGGTTGCCCATAATAACCCATTCCTGGTTGCTGCTGATGAAGCTGACCCTGATTTTGTGGCGGATATCCACTTGGAGGTATGTTCTTCAATATGATGCATTGAAGAAAGTACAACAGACAAGAAAAAGAGAGAAATAATCTGGTACCGGATTCCCCATCGGATTGTTTTGCATAACCGAATGACCTATAATGAAAACTCAATCCTTACGAACTTAGTGGTCACTTTGAGCTAAAACAAAGAGAAAATCAACGTAGTTTGAGGAAAATTAATCCCCACAATGCGAAGTAGTAACTACTTCAAAAATTTATCCCAATGTACAACCATTCAAAACAACCAAACCACCACATTACTGTAACAGAAAGAGCATCTCTCGAACGGAGAAAAAACCGAGGAGCTTCTACAAAACAATTAGGATATAGTTTTAAAAACATGTTAACCTTCTGATTTCAGGATTGATTGAAATCCTAAATAGAGAAAAAGTGAAATAAAGGAAAGAGAATACAATGTTATACTGGTAATTCGAGAAAAAACTGCCCGTTTTCATTTGTTTGTAAGAGACCACATTCATTAGTGATAGATCGGCACGGTTAATCGGCAGTGTAGAGAAAAGGAGATTGGCATGAAAGAAATGTTAACTGATGAAATCGGAATCTTACTTGACTAATTTATTGATTAAACGAACTGCTTATTGATTTTCTCTTCTACTGAGTATGAAGGCACTTATTGAACATCAGCAGCTTCTTTGATGAGTTTTCGAGCTCGTACGAAGGCAGCAACAACGCCACCAATCTGTATACGATCAGAAGAACCCAGTGACAGTCGTTCTTCGGTATCCGCCAGTGCTTTTATCAGGCAAACCAACACCTGCGTCAAAACGAAGCGGTTAAAAAACATTGACGAAAATAAAAAAGCCACAATGTTAATTTTCTTCACATACTGCTTACCATTTCATGCCATATGTGAATTCCTACTACCGCAGAAATGTTTACAAAACTCCGGACCGTAGGTGTCTCCGGTGGGGATCGAAGACGCAATTACCCTCATTGGGGATAATGCGTTCACCACCACACCATGAGGTTCCTTCGTTTCGCTTTTGTCGAAACGATGACCCGTATGGTTTGATGGCGAACATGTTATCCTCCGTAAAGGGTAATGGCGCGCTAGATCCCCGTCGCAGACACCTGCGGTACCGGAATTTGCAAATAAAAAAATTTAAAAAGTTGCAGTTAAATCCCCTTAAACGAAATCTCTTCCTGTAATCATCTCAAATGTGCGCCTATACACATGTGCATATAATGTAATGTATACACTTATGCACACAAACAGGGTAGCGTGTTGGGCAGTGGGTAGAGGCGCCCTGCGGTACACATGGGTACGATCCCGTGTCCCAGGTACACGAAGTCTTCCATCCCTCCGAGGTAAGGATAATGCTACCAGATTTGTCTAAAAAGATAGCAGCATTGGCTCAATACATTAGTAAACCACTGTGAGTCATTCTAAAAACCAGAAATGCATTCAATCATCTCTAACGATGCTTGATGAAACCGAATGCATGGTCCATCCCTCAGAGGATGATCAATGCCGAGAGCTTTATTCTACATATGTATATATATGTATATACATATATAAATACATGCGTATAATATACAGACAGAACAAATTTTTAAATTGGAAATAAAACCACACATATTTTAAAAACGACCAACTTTTGATGGAATATCGAGCTGAAAAAGAAGGTCATGTAGTCGTGCGATGACGTCAATTAAGGCATAACCCTCCTCTCTGCATTCTCGTTGTAATTCTGAATTATTTGTCACAACGATTATCTGTATAAAGAACTAAAATGGTTGTCCACATCACTGTAAAGGCACAAGACCAGCAAGAACTCCCACTTCGGCAGCACGAAGCAAATGACTCATTCATCAGAATTTGTAAAATCTTCTCCATATGTTTAGGTGTTGGCTGCCCAACACACTGATAAACACTCGTCTCGTCAACACGTGAAACAACCATTGATGTGCTCTAGATAAAACTCCTTCACAGGATAGGAAACAAAAAGAAACTGGTCCAGGGCCTCAAACTTAACAGACAATAAGGCACCTGCAGGACGTTCAGCAAACGACGCATATCACCGCTGGACAAATCCAGTAGTGCCTTCTTCCCACATTCAGTCACTTCTAGTTTTTCTTCTTCGATCTACAAACTACCTATCTATATCGATCCATATCTATCGACCTTCATATTTATGCACAATAATTCATTAATCTGAGCTAGAAGCTTACCACATGATCTAACTTTGGCACAATGTGTTCCACACTCAGAGGAGCGAATCGAAATCGTGTGCACCTGGACTAGGTAAAATAACAGGCATAAGTAACTCGAATTTGGAAAATTGTAGACGTACCTTGACTGGATAGCAGGAATTATTGATGAAAGGTAATTGCAGATTATACAAAAACGAACATTCGCTGTATACTTCTCAATGACTCTGTAAAAAGTGAAACAGACCAAAAATCCAAATGTAAGGCGATACGGCTTACCTCCTTAGCGCATTCTGAGCATCTTTTGTCATTGCATCAGCCTCATCAAGAATAACAAATTTGAGATCAGTTGTACTGTTTTCATCCAGGTGGAGGGATTTCGTCTGCGCGAAAGTTATGATTTCCTCTCTACAAGTACATTTTAATACCAACTCACTTGTTGCGTTTTATGAATTGTTACTTACTTACTTGGATACTTAAATGGCCCATCCTCACTAGTTGTGCGGGCCTCAGTAAAACTTCCATTTTTCGGAGTTTTGCTAGTTTAGCCATTCTGGTTCCCTGAAGCCCTGAGGTCAGCCAGGCCAAAGTTTGCCCCAGGTCTTCACCACTACAGGCAGTCGCAGCCCTTGTGGATCAAATAGAGATTTACCGCTATGCGACTTTAATACCAGGACGGTGGCAGATCTTGGTATTAGTTTGCTCTTAGTTGGGCTTCCTAATGGAAACGACGGACTCCTCGGTTTGGGAGGCCCTGACTAGGGGATGAAACCCCACCCCTGTACATTGCAGCCCCACACCAAAGAACACTTTCCAGCTACGATGAAGCGGTAAGACATTGGGAGATTCATAAATTTATCTCATTGAAAACAAAGCACTTGCATCACAATACGAAGTGTATCGTTTTGTCTTTGAAATAGGACACACTGGCATATTAAAAGGCCCTCAGTGTTGATAAATTCCTGAGAGATGCGTCATGCATTCGATTTCACTAAACATCGTTAGAGGTTAGTGAGTCTATACCTGGCCTACACAATGATTTGTAAGCTTTATCGATACATCAACACAGCTGTCCTATCTTCCTAGATTAGTCGGGGCCAATTTCCTGACTCCACAGCGTTGAAAGGCTTCGTGAACCCTAGACATAGGATCGAACCAGTAACCACGTATATATCGCAAAACACCACTAACTACTGTGCTACACGCGCCCCATTACTATTATGTACTATAAAAGTGTACCATAAATCGGCATTTTGCCAGACAAAACAAGATATTGTCTAATAAAAATGTTAATGCCACGAAACAACCTTTTATAAAATTTTTTTAAGATACTGATAATTGAGAAGCCTGTGGCGTAGTGGTTAGAGGGACCCTACAATACACATGGGATCGATTCCCGAGCCCATGGCCCACCAAGCTTTCCATTCCTCCGGAGTCGGCACGCTTGTATGAGAGGATAGCAGCACTGGGTCGATACATCGGTGAGCCAGTGCGAGCCATCGTAAGGGACAGATATGCATTCAATTATCTCCAATGATGCTTAATGCTTAATGAAGCCCAATGCATCACGCATCCCTCAGGGATTGATGAACGCCGACAGTTTTATCCTTTTCGATTTTGTTGACAAAGCGTCTAGCGAGAAACGCGGCAAGATTACAAATCCTTGGAAAGGTGTACTCACCTAACAACACCAATACCTCTGTCATCTGACGCATTCAACTCCAGAACCATCGAATTGCGTTGCCTCCGTGTATACATGGTGTTCACGACAGCCAAAATTGCACTTGTTTTTCCTGTACCTGGAGGTCCATAAAACAACAGGTGAGGCAGTCTGTTTGATTTGACGAAACGAACAACTGAAAAAAACAAGAGTTCCGGATCCATTCCACCGAAAATTATTCAGAAAAAGGAAAGCAGACAGTAAGATACTTACGAGTTTTGACGATTTCCTCATGAGAAATCATATCAGCCAAGGACTCCGGACGGTACTTCTCTGACCAAGGCAAATTTACGACCGCGGGAGGAAGGTTGATTTCCATCTCTTTGCTTAACGAAGCAAATATCATAAGATAAAATTCAATACGTTTATGACGCCAGTATAGAAAGTAGTATTCAGTTATTAAAAAATAGTTTTAATTGAGAGTTTCTGAGTTTGAGAAAATAACGATACAAAAGCCTCTCGACGGTTTACCGACTCATCGTGGTAGGGAGATGTTCCTTGGTGTCGGGTTACGATGTACAGAGGGAGGATTCATTCCCCAGCAGGGTCCTCCAGGCTGAGAGTGAGTCTAGCTTTTCCATCAGGAAGCCAAGCTAATTACTCTTAGCAAACCAATACCGGAATTCACCTCCGTTCTGGTATCAAACTGCTCGCATGGTGCCAAATCTCCCTCTAATCCACAAGTGAGATGACTGCCTGTGATGGTGACATGAGGCAGACCTTGGCTAGGCTGACCTCGAGACTCCAAGGAACCACGATGGCTAAACCAGCAAAACTCCGAAAAAATGGAACTTATGCCGAGGCCCCGCGCAACCGAGGGAGACGGGCCATCCGAGTATCCGCGTAAGTAATAACACAAAAGAAATGATGAGTGAAGTGAAGGCAGCACAAAGATTCGAAAATGGAAAATTTCGATAAAAATAGTGAGAGAGAAAACATGACACTTATTAACTCTTTCGCGACAAAGGTAGTTTCTTAACAACACACAATGATTGACAATCAAGCAATAAAGTATTTCAGGAGTTCAGAATTTTATAGATTCATAGAAGAGACATTGCTCTACTGGACTATTCGTAAACAAAACCTTCTACGGCGTACATCCAAAGTTTAATATGTTTCGAATCAGGATTTTCAAAAATTTGGAGATGAAATCTACAAGTTTTAAAACTTCCAACCCAAGAGGGTTAATAAGTAAATAAAGCACTCGGCGCTGATCAATCCCTGAGGGATGCGCCACGCATTCGACTTCATTAAACATCGTTTGAGGTTGAATGAATGCATATTTGAACTTTACGATGACTCGCGGTGGTCTAGCGATGTATCGAGTCAGTGCTGCTATCCTCCCAGACAAGTTTGGCACCAGTTTGCCGACCCTGGAGGGATGGAAGGCTTAGTGGGCCATGGGCGCGAGGATCGATTCCAAATAGTGGGACAAATGTTTCCACAGTGCTTAGTAAGCGAGCATAAAATTATTGGAGCAACGGCAGCTTAAAAAAGGTCAATACTGCCATGCAAACCAATTTTCAACTATGTACGGCAATTCATTGTTAATGGAGTTAATATAATTGTAGAAGAAAAGAAAGGGAAAAGAAAGAGAAACGTAGATAACAAGGTGACACCGAATATGAAGAGAACTGTTTGAGAAGCCAAAAAACTATTTCTCAAGACAAACTTCACAACCATATATTGGCACATATCTTAAAGTTATTCAAATCAGAAAACAAAAAATGAGAAATCCTACCGACTTTGAATGGATTGAATGGATGAATTGAATGGAATTTCCTGCTTTTCAGCCGTATGAGTCGATGACCCGCTTGCATTCAGAATTTCACGCTCCAATCTCACATTCTGCGCTATGGAACCCATTTGCTTTCGTCCACGTAATTCGGGCAGGTAGTCCAGACTCTGTATAGTCGTAATCGTGAAGCTTCTAGTTAAGATCATTGTTAGGAAACGTAATTGTGTTTTACTGTGAAGTTCATTAATGAAGACTATTCAACCACTACGATGTTAATTTACAAGATTTAGAGCCTGGGCCAGATCGGACTTCGATTAGCCTTTCTGGAGGCTCGCGTACAACACACTGCACCACTGAGACCTTTGCGTTGCGTTTCTGTCAGCTAGTTTTCTTTAGAGACTATTCAGTGTAACGGAATAATCTCCATTTATTGCATGCTTTAGGTCAGGTGTTCAAATGAGTGTACACCGTAGAATTATGTGATGGCGGCCCATTTTCTTAAATCGTTTGGGCAACATCCAGTAATTTCTCCTCTCCCTTACTTATCTGTTATAGAGGGACTATGGAAGTTGACGTACTATAGTGCTGTGCTATTGAATATCGGATTTTAAGGTGAATTCCAACCACAAATACGGTTGGTAAATGTGTTTAAGATATCTACCCAATCATCGTGCCAGTTAATCCCAAGCCTGACTTTCCCTTAACCTTGGTATTGATGAATAATTTGCTGTTTTCTTGATGAGCAAACACGAGATTGTTATTACAGAATTTATTCATTAACGATAGTTGACGTATTGGTGGTCTCAGCTTCCTCAGAGTCTGGAGAGGTCAAGTTGGCATGCAATCTACTCAGCCTAACACTTTCATAACCTCAGTAGACAAGACTAAAAACATGGATTTCTAAACATTTGAAGTTAAATGTTTTAAAAGTAGAAAACGTTCATGTGTTAAGTGTTGTCTGCTGAGGTCATGAAAGTGTTCGAAAGTGTTTGGCTGAGTGGATTGCACGTCAATTTGACGCCTCCAGGCCCTGAAGAAAGCGAAACATCAAAAACGTCGGTTATTGTTAATGAATAAATGCTTTAATAACAACCTCATGTTTCCTTATGAAAAAAACAGTGAGTCATCTGGCTAGTTATTCTCCTTGAGTCCGATTTATTCCACTAGTGACCCACTGAGTTTCACATGCTGACCTCAGAATCTTTTCTCTGAACGTTCTGCAAGCGATACGGCAACTTTGTCCGTGCCTTCAATCTTTCACGATCGTGACGGTGACTTGTTTAAATTCCCACCATTGTAGACTATGTTGTGGAGGTCAAAGGTAGATCAATGCAAATAAATCAATTTAAAAAATCAGTAGACTGGACAATCAATACAGCAGAAGTTGGGAAAGTGAATTAATTCTTCTACGGATAACTTGGAAAGAAATGTTCCATCTCACAAGTTTAGTGTTAGGTACAGGAAAGTTCTCTACCTTCCTGAATAAATCAAAATGAAGCAGAAGTTGTCGTATGAACCACATAACAGGACGAACATTGACTTTTGATAGTAAACTGTGTAACAAATAGCTTCTAGAATAGTATTACGTTGCAAAAGGTAAAAGATAAAAGAATAAGATCAAATGACAAGCTTCTGACTCGTTTCGTCCATTCCTACAGTAACCAAGTGCGTGATCTTATCAGTTCCATGAGATTAGAAGTTTAGAAGAGTGAGTAGGAAGACGGGACACAACCATGCATGTGCAGTGAACCAATTGGAATTTATGCCATACTCTTCCATAAACATAAAACTCAGCAGTTTGACGAGTGGCATTTACGCGACCGTATGAGTCATACATGATTCATACGTGGCTGAATTTTCTGGACTAATTTCGAAAACATCGAATATAGAATAGTTCAAATATAATATCCTAAAGGTTTGTACTAGAAAACTAGTAGTAGACCCATTCATTTATCACTAAACTATACAGCTGGTGATAAAGGTTCGAGATCAGTTCGAAATCATTGCTTCATTGCAATCATCATTACTATTCGCATTTGCGACGTTACCGGCATTACCAAAATGCACAAACTGCTTTTCCTCCTGTGGTTTACTCAGATTGATTCAGCCGGTACAGTGTCTTCCTTCTGTTCTTTTCTCTCCTTGGCTCTGAACAGTGAATATTTAGCCTCTATCGCGATGTCTTAAGTAGAGTAGTAACTTCTACTCAATGTTACTCTTAAAAAACAACCTTAAATTCCCAAGTCCGACTTTCTATTAACCTTGGCATTGATTGAACAATTCTTTCCACTTCTGTTCAGCAAACACGAGGTACTATACCACTTCCCCACTCACGTAAAAGCTAACGTTTCGGCGGATTTCGCTTTCCTCAGAGCCGCTTTCTATGAGTCTTCCACTGAGTATGTCGTGTGAAGACCAACTGTACAGAATTCACATGGAGACGTAATGTGAATAACAGCAAAGAACCTTAAATTCATTAACAGGTGCTTCAGTGTTTCTGAAACATACCATAGAACATATTTCATGTTTAGTATTTATGCTGTTGACTTGTTGGTGATACTTTATACTTTACTTTATACCCTTCTTATACTTCCCATATTATATCTTATATCGTATTTTTTATCGTACTTTATATACTTTCTATACTTGTGCTTTACTTTTCTTACAAAGTCTTGTTTTTGTTGTTCTAAACCTTCCTGCTGAAGCATTTAATTCTATCATCCTAAACTCCCTTAGTTGTTTTCGTTTTTAGGGACAAATAACGGGAAGCACGGATGGATATTGAATAGTCCCAAGTACTACTGTAATGAGGACTGTAGACGTAACCTCTATGCGGACTCGCTGAAGTTCAACACAAGTGGTTGTCTTGAAATTGAAAACGATGTTTTAGCGCTGAACACCAGTCAGACCGAACAGATAGCCAAATGTCTCAGGTAGGTCGGATTTTAATAGTTCCAAACATAATTCTGCTTGAATTAAAGGGATAAAGAATGAAGAATTGTGCTTTCATCATTCCCTGAAATTTGTGCTATGCATTCGCCTTCATTCGCACCGTCGTAGAGGTGATTGAATGCATATCTGTCCTATGGAATAATTTACTGCGGTTTACCGATCTATAAGATTAGTGCTGCTATCTTCCCGGACTATTCTGGTAGCAAATTGCCGACCTCGAAAGGATGCATGACTTAGTAAGCCAGCCGGAGGTTGCGGATCGGTCTCACTGACGGATTCCTGATATGTCGCCTATTTTAATTACAATAAATTATTCATATTCAACCACTTACAGTAATGGTTATTTACTCCTGCATTTTGTATTAAGTTGTCTAATTTGTTCCCAGATCTATGCATGCCAACTATAATTCGTTATCGGTTGAATCGCAACACTGATCAATAACAGTCAGCTGTGTTTGATGCTAACTTTCGTCCACTTGTTCACAATCAGTAAACGACATGTGTACCTTTTACTACTGTTCTAACACCGCTCAGAGTGAAGAATGGCTTGAAACAACTAACAACAACTGGGATACCACGGAATGACTACCGTTTCACATGCAGACCGTCAAGGGATCGAATGACATGGTATCGTGGATGGCAGTCACTTACGTTCAGGTTAACCGTTAGTCCTTTAGTTCTTATCGTTTTCGGAGTATACAGAGGATAACAACTGTAAAAAAAGCTTAGGAACTTAACTGAATTGGGAATGGCGAGTATAATGGATTGAAAAAAACTGAACCAAGAGCTCGAGGAGTTAAGTAGTCGTGAAGTACTGCTAGCTATCGGCACAACACAGTTGCAGTTGTTTTACATAATTCTCTGTGATTCTGTTGATGGTCTGTATTAGGTCTCAGAAATATTACTAGTAATCCTTTTGAAGTGAAATGGAACACCATATATCGAGACAAGTTTTCCACTGATTATTGTCATGCAGGATTAATACTGTAAAACAATGAAGACAATCAACACTTGTGTTCAAATTGTTAAGCTTACACGAGGTTGATAAATAGGTTTATTCGACTGTTTCTGTTGTTTATTTGTTGTTGTTGTTGTTGTTGTTGTCGTTCTTTTCTTGTTGATTTGAGAGTTGTTTTGTTCAATTTGAAAGATTGCTTTACAGTCAAAAGTTTAGGAAGCTTCGAAACGATGGCTTTTTCTTCTTCTAAGGGACAGTTCCAATTTCAGCGGCGAACCATGCATACGATGGGATGAGGCTCCCACAAAATTTCCATTGAAGAGTTTTTCGAATTTCTCATCTCCTTCAGTTGATTACATAACACAAAAGGTATTTTCCACCACCATATCACAACACGAAAACTACTGCCGTAATCCCGACAATCATCCGCTTGGACCGTGGTGTTTCTATGAAGACGAAGATAAGGTACGAGTTAGGTGTACGAGTCAGGTGTTGAAAAATCGCTAGAAAAACTCGGAAAAACTAGTGAATCTGGAGTGAACCTAATGAGCGAGGCATCGGATTAGCATGAATTATAAAGAGAATTAGTGGATCGTTCATCTTGATTGCATGTCACTCCCGATGTTCGGGTGCTGTTCTTTAGTGGTCTTCAACAAAATGGGTCTTCACAGAAGTGTCAGACGTTTGTTTCTGTTTTATTTTTCAGATAAGACGAGCTCCATGTTTCTATACATGTGCAACTGATATCAGACGATTATGTTTGGCGAAAGCATTCTTTCCGTACTATCAGACACCCTATCCATTTGACAATGCTCCTCTGTCACCAGTTGATCCACGAGTTCTTCGCACAATCAAGGACTCGGGTCTGAGGAAAAGAAACGCTCAGCTAGGTAGCCTTTAGCATAAGTTGACGATTATATATTTATGGGGATTCTCGGTATGTTCCTTGTCCTTATTCTTCTATTTATGTGGTTCCCCTTTACATATTGTGTAGATCTCGATATTTCTTTCGTTAGCTTAGCTGCCTGACATCCGTAATTCACGAGAATTGTCTGTGGATTTGTATGTCGGTTTGGGTGCCACTTAGCGATTTCGTTTTTTCATGAATGTCATTGAATATTGGTTAAGTTGATTGGCCTTAGAATCTTGAGAGAGCTCCACTGGAGCGTACCCAAGTCTTCACCGCAGATACTCGCAATCCTTTCCGGATCCGAATGAGCCACTCCCAAATAAGCTCGGAGCAAATTAGTTGACCTTGGTAGAATGAGCGGCTTGGTTTAGCTCAGGGTGGTTCTAAACCAGAAGCCTTCTGTTTGATGTTAAAAGCATCTCTATCAATGTGTTCTCATCACTCTAGTGTCTTCTACAGGCAACTTATGTTACTTTTTCTGTCCTTTTGGCGTTTAGAGACTTTAATTTTAGACATTTAGCTATTTAGCACATACTTGATACTTGATACTTGAATGGCCCGTCCTCACTAGTTGTGCGGGCCCCAGCATAATCTCTGTTTTTCGGAGGTTTGCCGGTTAAGCTATTATGGCTCCCTGGAGTCCTGGGGTCAGCCTAGCCAAAGTCTGCCCCAGGTCTTCACCACCACAAGCAGTCGCTGCTCTTGTGGATCAGATGGAGATTTACCACTATGCGACTTTGATACCAGGACGGTGGTGGATCCTGGTATTGGTCTACTCTTAGCTAGGCTTCCTGATAGAAACGCCGTGCTCCTCAGCTTGGGAGACCCTGCCAGGGGATGAGTCCCCCGCTGTACATCGCAGTCCGACACCCAGGAACACCTCCCAGCCACGATGAGGCGGTAAACCGTTAGGAGGTTTAGCACATAACGAAATAATATTTATGAAAACTGACTTTTATTGAATCTCGACATGAAGAACCAATTGGTGCCTTCGCCTTTTTCAGAGTCACAATGGTTTTTTATCCTTTTGGTCGTTTTTTCTTCTATTTTTTTTCATTCCTTTCTCTTTTCCTGTTTTAAATTTATCTGGATTTCTCTGTCATCTTCTGCTTAAGCAGTCTAATGACAAGTCCTCATTTTCTCTAGTCTTTGTTTTATCGATTTGTTTAACTAGTTCCTCTCATTACGACTGTATATAGACATTCTTGCTAAAATGACGCTTCTTGAGACTTAGCGCACAGAAACAGCAGATTCTGTTCACATGTGAGGAGGCTTTGCTGTCCACAGGTGGTTCATATTCACAAAATGAGTTCTTCATTCGGATCAAAGCATGAAGCGAAATGGTTTGTTTCCGAGTGGAATTGCTTTTTATCTACGTAATTCTGAAACTGTGAAGGCGTGTGGTTAGAAATGGCGTGCAATACACGTCTGGTCCCTGGTCCCATTCTGCTTCGAGCCAGCTAAATCTCCATTGCGCCGGAGACGGCAGATTACATCTAGAATTGTTTACAAAAAGCTCGATCCGATTCAGAAATGCAGATAACTGTCTGTAGTGAGGACCTAATCTGCAATGAGGATCTACGAGTGCTTTAACACCAGCTATCCCTGGATTCCAGGAAAAAATCTGTTCCATCGGCATTCAGCGGCATTCATGAAGCAGATCAAAATCCTCAAGTAGCAGCCAAACCCACGGGCAATTTCGAAAAATTTTGTTTATGACATATGCAAGAAAACAAATCGAATTCAAGAAGTGCGGCTAAACAATATGTGGAAAAAGGTAATACAAGAAAGGCGAAACTTACATTCATCTATATGTTTATTTCTAGATGACGCTGCCTCATGAAATTTTCAGAAAGGATCTATTTTAGGACAAATTCCCTGTTTAGATCTAAGCGACATTCTTGACGTGCCCGATGTGGTTGGTGCGGTGGAACATGCCACCCCTCTCTACTCCATCGCTCTGACCACACGACATCTCACGCAAGCCAGATTGGCTGGCAACGCCGTCGTGACTCGGAAAAAGTGAATGTTGATTTATTTGCAATATAATATGTGTTTTTATGGCCTCTGAGAACAATTTTGGTGATGGTTTCGCGGTTCTGCGATCGAGTTGCCCAAAATATGTCTTCAGGTCTTCGATTGCTCACTATGTATTCGAAAGAATTAAATTTACTTTTGGATTAGAAAGGAGTTCATTTTTGACTTAAAAATTAGAGCTGACCACTACTGAGTAGGTTTTACAACTTTCTGTCAAATATGGAAGTTCTGAAGTTGAGCACTGTCGTATGCAGAATTTTCCGAAAGATACTGTGTTATTGTTCACACCTACGTCCCTTTGAATTACAATATCTTGAGCTAAAACTAAAAAATTAAAGCTTAACTACGGTGATGGTAAGAAGTAAGTAAAATTCGGAACCTCGGGTGAGCTTCGAAACCGCGAGCGTGGAAAACTTGAACCAAAAGAAGGATTATAAGCTCTTTTTCTCAAAAAATGAGATGGAAGGATTTGTCGCAGCTTCGTAGAAAATACGTTTTTAGTTAGATTGAAATGAGTTGGTTTTTTAGATGTCATCAGACTGGAATGCGGACTTTGATTGCTGGACCTTGGACCTCTATCAAAGACGATTCGCTGTTTTTACCGGAAGACAGGTGGCTTTTATGTCTAGATCGGAATAATTTCTAGAGCCAAAAGCATTGATTTCCTACGTACCCAGTGTTCGATGTTGATTTTAGCTCATTACATATTTGTGTACAAGTGTTTATCATTCGCTTGCAGTGATCCTGAGCACGTGGGACCCATATTGAGAGACTTCCTACGGTCACAAATGTTAGCCGGAAGGCAAGGTATTGATAAACCCTGGCGGCCATGTTTCAGTGCTTGTGAAGACAACACGTACACGTAAGTGATGTTCCATGAATTGCGCATGGTAGACTATTTTCGAAAAATGCTTAAAAGTTTAACGATTAATTCATGTTTCACCGTCGTCTTCATTCAACCAGTGTTATGAACAGTCCGTGCCTTTAATTTTCTTAAAATTCGAGTACCAGCTTGTATTCTATGCCTATGTCCATTTTACTTACCGTTGTGCAGAAAATGGTCGTCGGCTGCTAGCGAGCGGAAGCTCCGGCATGGCCTCACTGCTTGCTAATCAAGAAAGATACTAGGAAAGGTTGGGTCAGCTAAAAAAATGATGTATAAAAGTGTCTGATCGAAGCGTTTTGCCTTCTGCATATCATTTTCTTATTGAACATTTCACTATTTGCCCGCTCGTTTTCGATAAATCAGCCGCTTTGAATTCACTATAGCACCAGTCCAACACACACTCAGAAAATTCTATGAAAATCCAAATTTCAGTCATAGTGAATAAAACAACTTTCCGAAGTCAGTAGGGAATACCACTTTCTCATTATTCTAACTTTTATTGACTTCAAGAAGGCGCTCGAAGCGTTGAAAGGAATACAACTCTGTAAAATTTTTGCACCAAAAAGATTAGTCCTCACTATTGCTAAATGTGAACTTAACCTGATTACTACCATGACGTGCACCACTGTAATATAACATTTCCATCAACTCCTTATTAATCCCACAGGGAAAAGACTAACGAAGGGACATCGTTTCGTTGAAGCTGTTCACCACTGCATTTCAGTGGGTAATGATTTCGCTGAATTGGAACGAAAATGCCGTATTAATGGAGATTTCTAGAAATGGCAGGTTATTGGAGAATTTCTAGCAAAATTTTATCATTCTGACGACATCACTGTCTTTTGAAGAAGTACCGTCTAAGTAGAGACAATTCTTACAGCGCTGAACGACGAGGAGAGAGGCATAGGGCTGCGTTTAAACCTGGAGGTGGTTCTCTGGTTAAAGGGACTAAGTTGTAAGTGTATTGTGAGCGTTCATTGATCATACAAGAATGCCATAAAGGAGGAATTGCATAGAAGAAGGAAAGCAGAAAAGTTCTTTCTTTATAACAGGCACTCATAACATCCAGCCGGAATACGCATCACATTTCTTCGAAGATTGATACAGGTTTCGAAAATCCAGAATACTTCACATCGAAAGCAAAATGTAGATGGGTGCTTTTTAATAACAGTGCTTAGTCTCCTTAATATCGATGACAGTTTGAACAGCGAAACGATGAATTGGATGCTATGAAGATCCTCTGGGATAAGCACTTGCAATTTCGGCGGTTATTCGCACCTGCAAATACTTTATAGACTGCGGAATGGTCCTCATAAACTTCGCGCTGTTCGAAACAGCTCAGCGCATTGAAGGTTGGTCGCTATATAAAGAAGCAAAAGTATGTGTAGTGGGTCACATCACTAGTAAACAGATGCCGTCCGAGTATCCATATAAACAAGTATAGATAAATTTGAAACTTTATTGACCTGTGTTCGCGGAGATTTTTGTTGGTGCAAGGATATTTTCTATTTATTTGGTGTATCGTCAGTTTAGTCAGATTTCCTCTCTGGAGTTTTCCAAAAAGGAGTCAAGACTGCCATCAAGTCGTCACTAGAGGCTGTTTTCGGACTTTGGACTTTGTGAGAGGTTTCCCTTCTGCTGATTGGCTGTCTTGCAACCATTTGTGGCGTTAATTTACCACTTAAGTACTCTTCTGGTTGGAAGTAGCAAGTTACGTAGCGGTTTGGTAGGTTCCTTCGTATGAGAGAGTAGGAAATAAGATTCTGCTGTTCTTTAAGAAAGTTGTTGAGTAATGGTCAAACGGATTTTCTCTGGAATTCTGCTGTAGTCGTGCAAGGACGTTCCTCGATCTTGTGAATCAGAGGATCTGGTGCCAATTCCTTAATCCTAAGTTAATGGAATCTGTGGGTGACCTGAACTAAGGTCGAACAGAACCCCTTGCACGATCACTGTTGTGGGCATCTCTTTCACTGCGCCCCTTATGGACTTGTTACTTAAATGATAGTAGCGAACATGTTGACAGTCCATTTTCGAATAGTACTTTCATGCAGAGAAAATCTCAAAATAAATGGCTAATTATTCAAATAAGAACCTTTACATTGAAGATGCTGGCCCATTTCGACGGAAAATCAGCTTAACAGTCGACTTTTCTATTTTGGCAACAAAGTGGTAGATCGAAGGCAACGTTCGTGTTTGAAATGGACTGAAGTAAGTAATGAAGCGAAGAATTAGTAGGTTTGAGGTGGAAGGAAGAGATGTCGACTTTTGGAATTGGACATTAGTTTAGGCTATGTCGGTTCTCTACAGGCATTACTCCTCTTATATAAAAGAAGTTAAAAAGAAGTCAGCAGTGAAACGGAAAGAACTTAAGGTAGGTCGATTTCGAATCGATTATCGATTGGCCAATAAGTGGTGATTTCTTATTGAGCAAAAAACGAGCACTTCTTGATCTTAAATTCTGTAGAAAATTAATCCGGACTTGGCGTTACAAATTTACTACTACGAAGAGCTCAACAGGAAAGTTGACGGTCGAAACCGACTGATTGTGAACAGATTTCGTGACGGAGGTGGTCGATTAATGCATCGGTGTGTTCCATATGATTGTCGTCATTGTTTTAATTCAATAATCCATCACCTTGTTGCCAACCTCCTTTAACATATTCGCGGTTGCGTGCACTGATTTCAATGCATACATGGCTAAAAATGCTACATTCTTTTGACTGTAAACAGAAAATGTCTGAAAATATTGGATGCTGCTGGTCGAAACACGAACCATTAAAAAACCCAGCAGGTTTCTATCACCAAGATCCAAGTCTTCAGCGATAAGATCTTGATATTCTTAAGCTACTGGGTAGAAGTCTGTGCTTTGAGAGACTGAAGGAGCACAGCTTCGACTAACAGGGGCACCGTGGCGGTCCCATTTTCATCGTTGATGATTTCAGTAGCCGAATTTGCATTAAATTCTTTGAAAATTTGAAAGGTCCTCAAATTTTTCGAAGGCTTGAACAATGATTATTTGGAATGAATATGCTGTCAAGAAAAAGATTTAACCTTCTTTTGCACCCTCACGAATGTGCAGAAATAAGCTCAAAAGCAGGCAAAGTGTGTGCTATGGTTATATGTGGTCTCCAATACACAAAGGGACGTCGGCTCGATCTCGCGTTTTGCACTAACCAATCCTTCATTCCTCCGGGGTCGGCAGATTACCAGACTTGTTTAGAAGAGTGTACGTGCCGAGTTTGTAACATCGTTCACTTACCGTAGTTGATTGTATGGGCCAAATGTGCATTCAGTAACCTCTGCGATGCTTACTGAGCCATAACGCATCTCTCACAGATTTAACAACGTTGAACTCCTCATGTTTATCCTCTATCATAAGATGAAAGCCTGATTTTTAGTGAGATCTGTTTGGATTTGGCTCGTCTCATCGAACATGGTAGTGAAAGAGATAAGACTATTTGGGGACCGGATTTTCTACTGGACACAGCCCACCACGCCTTATTCATCGAGGGTCCAGGTTGCTTTGCATGGACGAGTTCGAACAAGGTTCGATATCATCGTAACTATTATAATAATAGTATAAAATAATGGTATATACGTATATTAGTCGGTGCTTTAGTACAGTATACCATTTCTACAAGATGGAGCGGGTAGTCAGGGGTGATATCAAATAGTTTCATTCCACACTTTTTAACTTTAGTGAATGTCAATTTTACCAAGTCATAACGATGCTATTAAAATTCGTGTCTTACTAAATGCGACAAGAAAAGAACATTAAGGAGAATCGATAATGAACGGCAAGAGTGAACAGACAACTTCATTCCCCTTTCATGGTGTTTGTCTACTTTTAAGTATTTGTAGTGAAGAGAGTCACTGTCAATGTTTTATTCCTATTTAAATTCTGAATAGAGAGGTGTGCCACTGTAGAGAAGTGAGAAACGAGCGTATCGGTCAAGGTTAACGCAGTCGTGTAGTCGGTTCGGAGGGCCATTATGGAAGAACTCTTGAGTACTCGTTTCTCTTTTTTAGTTGAGGGAAAGTCAGAAATGACGCGCATTCTCGTAAATCTTTACAGTAATTTTTGAAAGAGGAAAAAAGAAAGGGCGAGGACGAAAATAATGAGGATGACAGACAATTTAGACTTTCGTCAAGTTCGGGCCGTGCTTCGACCCGTGTAAATGTAAGAGTGAAACGATGCATGAGCCATTTCAATCGTATCGAGAGATGTGTGAAAAGGAGAATCACGACTACGAGCCATGCACGGCCAGTGTAAGTTACCACCTATACTATCCACAGTAATTTCAAAGTATCAACTTGGGATCTTCACAAAAGGCTGGTACGAAATCCGTCATCATCTGTTTTGTCGCCTTTTTATTAGACATATGAGGATGTTCGGTCCGAATTTCTTTTTTTTTTTTGAAGCTGCTCCTTGTCGGAAACTTCATCTAAACTCCTCACCTAGGACATCGTCGTTGTTTGTGTTTAGAAGGCTAAATAACTGCAGACGACTTAAGGTCTTAGAGAACTTGGAAGCACTTTCTATTATGGTAACGAGGACCTGCAGGCCTGACCTTCTTTTGACACTTTTCGACTGAGATTTGACGGATGGCCCAAATGTCACAGAAAAGAGAATATCTAATTAACCTAAACTTTTTTTCCAGTGTCCACCAGCGCTGCTAAGAGTTATTGTACAGTTTTCTTTTTGCAATAACTACTTGTGAATAGTTGCTACTCTACTGTTTTCGATGTGGATAGGAAGTAATCAGCTATAATTTGATGTTTGATGGACCCCACCATTAAACTTTCGATTGGAAGGATTATAGAACTTTTGTAGAGCTGTTTCTACCTACAAAGGTTGTGCCCTTATTTTAGTAGTCATCACTTCTGTTGTGATGTGAGTAGGGTCTCGTCGATAACATCTTTTTCTCTCTTCACGTCTCTTCATGTGCCCTAAAAAACAGGGATTCGATTTGTTAGGAGGATGTTTCTGACACCGAAATTGCTACTACGATTAGTTTCATAGTTACTAAAACACATTTTCGTTCAACTGGAGACTAATCTAGAGCATTTCACTGCTATAAATAGCTCTGTGAGGATAAGAAATATTTGGGAAAGAACAGGTAAAAGTGGAAAAGAACGGTTTTTCAATTGCTTAAAAATCCTCGAGTTTTAGCGCGATGCGAGGGCTTTGAATATTCGCTACTATGACGAGAAGCTCAAGGCGATACCGGAAGCTCATATTCCTGGCATTTTCACTCCACTCATCACTACCGTACTCTCTGGGACGATGTGTGAGTTGCAGTATCGAACTACAGGAAATAAGAGATGGTTTTTACTACTTTGCAAAAGCTTCCCACGTTAATGTGACGTTGGAATGGCATTGAGACTTTTAATGAGCCATCTACACATGCAGCCAAAGGAGAAGACGTTAATATTTCTTTCATGGTTCATCCCTTCGGTTTGGATTACCAGGGTGATCTTGGTTTTTTGAAAAATGCCGCTGACATTACTATTCTTATGTATTAGCCTTTTCTTAAAACCTAACTAAAAAGTGTTTATAAGTTAGATTTCCGACTTGACAAATTAATCTTGTATTGATGAATGCGCGAAGGACCTCCCTATAAGAAAGATACACGGTGTCTTTGTGTAATAGAGCGTATTCTGATTGTGTCTCATACGTCGATTCAGCTAAAAAACGTATTGCACGTTAACAAGAATGGCAACCACGGGAGTTTATCTGACCGTGGCTGGATGGGAGCTAAAGGGCTGGAGATGTGATGAGAATATATCACGCGAACCTATAAGGATCTCTAAAAAACTATGAGCGCCTCTCAGAGTATATGTTCGTCTAGTTGCTCCGAATTGAGCTCGAGACTTTTCTGACTTGACAGACTACTTCTCAGTTATTTGACAGAGGCCTACGTCTGGAACGATGTTCAGGGCACAGTACGTATCCTACTTATGCATGAATAAGTCGACGTTCATATCGAAGCATATATCGGTCCGGTGTAATGAATGTAGAACCCATCACCCGAATCCACCTTTGTTTTAGAGAAGATACATACTCGGCATTAGTTCATATTTAACTCTTCTTCTCCACAAGATCGGGGTACTCCACGTGGCATTATTACTCATCTGCTTGAGATCGCTCACTTGAAGGAATTCTGCAGTTCGTCTAGGCATTGGGTATCAGTTTAATTATAAGCTTCACATGTGCGGCGGTGGTTTAAAATGCGGCGTATTCTGATGGCATTCGTCTTCCTCAAAACCGTAGTGCAATCGTAATTATAATCGTAGTGAGTGGTCGTCTGAATATGAATCGGCAGCACTACTTTCTAATTGTTTTGTTACAATTGCAAAACGACAAAAAGTACTAAGTTTATCATTAGGGAACAGTTTGCTACTAATTACAGAGGAGAGGGAATGGTTGGCTCAGGTTTGGAATGGGGTCAACCCAGTTTAATGTGCTTAGGGGTAGAGTACCATTGCACTTGTCTGTATACCTCGCATATCGTTTAATATAATGGAAATTAACGTTGTCGTTGCAGGTCTCCTGATTACGTGGTTTGATCAAATAATGGATCTGTTTTTCCCTCGACGATAAAGCGATCGATGACTCAGGCGTGTGTTGTTGGTCTTATAGCTTTGTAAAAATTGTTCTAAACCTATTGAAATACAAGCTTGGTTTAAAGTTCGTTATAAAGGATTTTAAATGTTTTCATCTGTTCCATTTTTTCCGTATTTATGAAAAACTCGCACGGGCCTCCAGCAGGTTCTTCTATTCGTTTTTTTCTCTAGCAGCCATCATATTAGCCCGTTTTGTTCAAGTATGCATTCAGCGACAACTTCACGATCACTCATTTCCCCATCGATATGTTGAATGGTAATTTATGGTTGTTTCATCTAGAATTCCGAAAAATCCGAACTAGGGCTTTCCTTTTGTCACAGGCAGTAGCTGGATGCTGTGTAACGAATGGAAGTTTTTCTCCTGCGATTCGGATTCTTTTCGGACGACGGACAATTCTATGATTTATATCTTAGAAACCGACTTTCACTAAACCTCGATAACAATGGTCGTTAATCTTTTATATGGTTGAAGTGGCACTAGATTTGTATAAAAATTTTTTTCGGTTAACGTTTCAACGCCTTCCTCTTCCTAAGCGCCGCATTGATGCGAGTCCATCGTTCAAACTTGGTCGTTGTCGTAACGTGAGCGTTCGTTGTTGCGAGTCGAATCCAGTGGATAGAGAGCTACTCGAATGGGGAACCAGACTTAGCGCCGCCCTTTTATATAGGACAGGTGTTGATCTAACCCAGCCAGGGTGTTTACGAGGACTGCGGAAAGCTCTTCAGGTGCTCAGATCTTATCCCGTTCGGTCCTGGTGCTTTTCGATTTTTCAATGACAAAATGGGATGTCGGATTTTGGAAGGGAAAACCGGTGGTACAACATATTCATTCTCTACCTATTTAATCTGATGGAAGGTGCACGTGGCTATTGAAGAGATCTGAGTAGTATTCGTGAATGATTTTCTCCATTGCCTTCCCGAACGCTGTTCCTGTTTCGTCTGGGAGTCGTAGTGCAGTCACCTCGGTCTAGTAATTGGCGAAGCTTTGGTAGGCTTTGCGAATGCTTTTCCCAGCCTCTGCAGCTTCGACCATTACTGCTGCTCTCCTCTCTTTGAGATCCTCTTTTATCGCCTGTCTGCATTGTTTTGCAAGTTCGGACGTTAGTGCGCGGTTGCCTGCAGCTCGTGCGATTCCGCGTTGGCATATCAGCTCAAGTGTTTCTGGAGACAAACGTCTCTTGGTGACTTTCGAACTCTCAACTTTCATAGCGCTAATGAGAAGATCTTAAATGAGCCCATCGTATCCCTCGTCAGTGTTATCGACAACGGTATCTTCCCAACAGCCCACTAATGAATTGAATAAGTCCCATTTCATAGTGGTTTTGTGACTTCGTTTTTTGTGTCGTTTTCTTGTTCAGCAATCGCGAGGTTTTTAAACAGCATACATTTACTTCCATAAAAACACAATACAATACAACGCTAACTGACGTTTCGGTAGTATTCTTCTTCAGAGCCGGGAAGGCTATACTGATATACAATCTACTAGGCCAAACGCTTCAATAACACTTACAAAAAGACGGAAAACTCTTTGGTAATCACATGATCAACAACTCGAAAAAACCCACCGCTTTTTCGTGACTTCCAATGAGGAAGTTTAGAACAGCTGATTATAGTCGCATTTGGTTGACAACTGCACCATCCCACATCAAAAATCGATGCAAACTTACGGGGTCAGGTCGCGTATGACCTCCGCGCATTCGTCCCTGCTATTCATTGTAGGGTTTTTGGTATTGATCCAAAAAGCCTCTAGGAGTTTTCGCGCTGGTGTTTTGGACTCCTGTGCAAGGATATTGACTTTTACTTCAAAATCGTCTCCACTATGCTTTTGTATCCTATGCGTGCCTAGTGGGGTGCTTCGTCTTAATTTTCGTTTGCCATCTAGGTGTTCTTTTATACGGATACACAAAGGTCTGCCCGTTTCGCCAATATATTCATCTCCGCAATTGTTACACGAGATCAGGTATATCGTGCCTGAACTCATGCAATCACCGTCCCTGCCGTAAGGGCAAATTACGCAATTTGTTGTTTCACACAGACGGTCATACAGGCGGTTGCGAACTAATTGGCGACGTAGAGTAGTCGGTGGTATTTNGCATTCGTCCCTGCTATTCATTGTAGGGTTTTTGGTATTGATCCAAAAAGCCTCTAGGAGTTTTCGCGCTGGTGTTTTGGACTCCTGTGCAAGGATATTGACTTTTACTTCAAAATCGTCTCCACTATGCTTTTGTATCCTATGCGTGCCTAGTGGGGTGCTTCGTCTTAATTTTCGTTTGCCATCTAGGTGTTCTTTTATACGGATACACAAAGGTCTGCCCGTTTCGCCAATATATTCATCTCCGCAATTGTTACACGAGATCAGGTATATCGTGCCTGAACTCATGCAATCACCGTCCCTGCCGTAAGGGCAAATTACGCAATTTGTTGTTTCACACAGACGGTCATACAGGCGGTTGCGAACTAATTGGCGACGTAGAGTAGTCGGTGGTATTTGGACTATCGCTTCCGATTCCTCTAGACCTGCCCTTCTTAAGCATCGTTTTATAGCTGCGCTTACTTCATCGCTTATAAAAGGCAACATAAACGGGATTTTGTTTTGGCCAAGTGTCTCGCGTGGGCGCGTCGCTATCCTTCTAAACTTATCTCGTGGGGTTACTGTTTCGTAGCCATTGGAGATGGCTATTTGCCGAGCCAAGTCGCGCGATACTTCCTTTAGTTCTCTGGTAGTGCACACAGAGGTGGCTGTTTGAAACATGTTTCTCACAATCGCCCTCTTTGTGTGTGAACAGTGGGAAGAAAGGAAATGAACAAGAATGTTCTTGTTACTTGGCTTTCGATACCACTTTGTTAGGTAACCGCTACTTGATAGGTTTATTTGGACGTCCAAAAACGGAAGCCAGTTTTCTCTCGGTTTCTCCCGGGTGAACTTTATGTACTCGGACTGCTCGTTCAATAATTCAAAGCATTTGTCCATCTCCTCCTGCGTAGAGAAGACGACAAAACAATCATCTACATATCTGCAGTAGAGTAGTGGCCGGCGATCGAGAACAGGGGCTTCTATCTTAGACATAAACACGATGGCCAGGCTTGGTGCCAGTCGCTGTCCCATTGCCAACTCCCTTATTTGCGCGAAATATTTTCCAGGCCATCTAAAAAACGAGCAGTTTAGGCACTCTTTTAGGAGAGCCATTAGCTGATGGATGGTCAATCCATGCATATTTATTCTTCCTTCATGCTCAACAAGAAGTTCGAAGATGGCTTGCATTGCGGAGTCATTCGATACGTTGGTGCACAGTGCGGTAACGTCGAAAGACTCCATCACATACGCGTTATTAGGAGAGTTTCTCCCGGGTGAACTTTATGTACTCGGACCGCTCGTTCTATAATTCAAAGCACGCGTTACGTAGACGTTCTAGGAACATTTGGGTGTTTGTAAGGTGAGCTAGAATGTGGTTAAGCAACTGGGTAAGTATCAGGATTAAAAACCAGGTTATTCTATCCGTTGGCCCGTCTACACAGCTGATGATCGGTCTAACTTTAAATGATGACGGATTGGTTGACGCATGATCATCAGGTGATACCAACTTATGTGTTTTAATAAGTAGGTATAGGACGGGACATGTTGGTCTATCGATTTCGTTTTTTGTTTTTTGCGGGTTTTTCTCCTTTCTACAAGAAGTAGGATTTTGCACGAAAGAGGCGATGGTCTGATCGCGTGTGGAATTTTGGGACAACAGCGACATCGGCTACGGAAAAACTTCGGTTTACCATGATCTATTTCGTTATGGTACTGTCCACTGGGAGACTCTCACGTCCAGCGTTGAGGGCGGGGCTTCTGGAATTGAGCGTTGCCATGGTCTTGGCCGTAATGGTGAACTCGGACAGCCGCTCACCCTGCTCGTTCCATTCTAATCCGTGGGTCCCAATGTGTCGTTCTTCAGTCGTTCTTCTTGGTCCTATCTTAGCGTTAAAATCTCCAGTGGTGAGCTTGAAGAATGGATGGTCTTTTCTCTGTAGAACTTCTCCAAGTCCATATAGAACGCTTCGACTTCTTCGTTTAATATCGGCGCATGAACGACGGAGATTGTTAAAAGCAGTGTTGATCCACCTTTTTTAATCCTTAACGTTCGATTCGTGCTGCAAGTTGTTCGGATGAATGAATGTTCATGGAGAAACTCGTGTTGACGAGGATGCAGACGCCGCCGACTCCACTGTCGCATGTTTCGCACCTATATATAGCTTTCTGGGCCCTGAACGTGTGGGCTGGGTATACTCACGGGTAACTTGGCTGTCTCTCCTAGAGTGGACATAGAGTTTATTTGTTGGAAGCGACTCCTCCTCCCATATACTTTCCTGCATTTGATGTTCATGGACAAACTCGTATTGACGAGAACACTGACTCCGCCGACTCCTCGTCGCATGTTCCGAGGAACAGTTCTTATCCGGTGTCATAGACGACGTTGAAAGGCTGGCGTCTTCTCGTCTCGGCCAGGCCGATGATGTCGTACTTTATCCTTCTTGCTTGTATGAGCAAGTCTTCTATCGAGGACTCGAATGAAAGTGTACGTGCATTGTAGGTAAAGATCGTCACTATGGTTCGTTGAAATCCAGGCAGCTTCCATTGGCCCTGAGATTTTAGCAGCCTCTCCATGCTCAACACTGTGAAATTGGAAGCCTTTTCGAGGTAAGGGAAATGCCTCCTGTTTTTTTTTACTGTGTTTAGCATTTTTGATACCCACGTACAGCTTGCTGGGCTCTGAACGTGGGGGCCGGATATACTCACGGATAGCTTGTCAACCTCTCCCAGAGTGGACATGGAGCTTATTTGTTGGAGGCGACTCCTAACCGCGTCCCATATACTCCCCTGTCACTTGATTGCAGGCTTTTGGCCGAATTGACTCGTAGAATACAATCCGCATGAGCAAGAACGCAGCTACACACGCATGCATGAATACGCTTAGCAAATGCGGGAAGTATGTGCCAAATCAGCGCAGCAGAAACAAGGAGTCCATTCCCTGGATCTACCTGCGTCTCAGGGAACCAGGGGTCGCTTTTGGTCCGCGATTAACCCCTATCCGCCACCTGGGGACCCGCCACGTAGCCACGCGACTAGCCGGCCCGAGATCACTCATATGAGGGAGATCCGTGGACAGTTTAATTAAATGTTATTATTGTAATGTGGTGAACTAATGCAGGGTTAAGAAGGTCTAGAGATATTTAGTATGGTTTGGGTGAATGTAATTGCCTTTGTACAAAGTTATTCGCTATAATTTATGTTTCTAGAACTTAATTAGATGTTTAGACGGTCCGTCTCCTCAGGAGTCTCAGCAATTCTTTCGTTCTTTTCATTTTACTGGTTGCAACAGTCATTCAAGATGGTGATCAGCTCCATATGTAGGTTCGGTTGGTGCTTGAAGAAGTGATTTTTTTTCGCTCTTCATCGAGCTACTGAATACTAAACAAGCTTAACGTTCCATGAAAACTTAAAATAGTCGAGCTACGTGGTGCTCTCGTCTTCGCCATAAACTTTCTCTACCTTTGTAGACTAGAGAGAGGTTCGACATCTTGCTACGAAGGCTCTTCCAGAACGGCAATGGTTTCTGCATGTAGTCGAGCGACCGTTTGAGGAAATACGAACCACCTCTGTGATCGTTTGCGAGGCTAAGAAAACTATATGATCTGTCCTAACGGGAACGACGAGGACTGCATGAGTTCAGGTACAATATGCTTGATCTCGTGTAAAGCAAGAGGGGAGGAATACATTGGGGAAACGAGTAGACCACTTTGTACCCGCATAAAAGAACACCTAGATGGGAAAATTAAAATTCGTCAAGGCACTCCTCTAGGTACACATAAAGCACAAAAGCACAATGGTGATGGTTTTGAACTGAAAGCCCGGATCCTAGCGCAGGAATCGAAAATATCAACGCGCAAAACTCTTGGAACATTTTGAATAAATTTCAAAAATCCATGGATGAACCAGAAAGACGAGTCCCTAACTATCGCACCTTTTGCCTTGTTTTAAAATGATTTTTTGACTTTGTGTGGGTATTACTCGCGAACCCACGTCAACAACACACGAACAGTTCTGCTCCTGACAGCACGGTGAGGAGTTTTCGATCAATGTGACGTTGGTTTACATGTTAGATCTTCACTAACACTTTGGTTTTCTTACCGAATTATTAAGCTATTTTTGTATGAAATACGTCC